TTGCAAAATAGTAATTCATAGTAGGAAGCATAGTAGTATGTAGGAAGGCTAAAGACAAATCTCGAGTGCTGATTGCTATCCTACAAAACTAGGCCAACACATATTACCTTTGTCACTTAACAGTCCCGACTCTGATATGGCCCCGTATTGTGTATCAGCATTACATCCACTTATGATCTAGACCTCGGAATTATCCAATTTTATTTTCAGTTGTGATAACCTGCTTGGTTGTTTGGACCTATGCTGGCCTCGACTTGGACTCGGCACTTACCCAGTCAGATTCAACCTTCATTCTTCGACATCTTCGTGCGGGTATAGAGCTCGCTGGTGTCATCCTATCGACGACTTCCGAGGATGTTTGCAAAAACTTCCTGCAGTCGAAAGCTGATACGCCAGAACAGGCCGCCGGAGGTGGAGACATCCCCTCATCTTTCCAGGCACGTACAATACCAGCAGGCCTATAAATTTGTTTTTTTTGGAAATTTGTAGTGTATATGTGGTTTTTTTCTATTCTAGGCCCTCCATGCTCTTCTGGACTTACTCGAGTCACCCCTAATGTCCGGACCATTGCGGGTTGCCGTTGTCGAGGCTCTGGATCGAAGCACCCGACTTCCTATTGGTTTGGACGCGTTCTTTGGTCGCAAAACCTCGCCCGAAGAAGCCGACCGTAAAATCAAGATGGAGGTAGAGATGAAGGAAGCAGGAGCCACCAAGATGGAATGCTCTGATGATGCCGACCATGATGGTGGTGGTGATGATGCTAAAGCGCTGTTCGAACAGCCGCATAATCTCACGCCCTATCAGCGCCTTGTCCTCTTTATGTCCACTAACAAGGCAAGTGGCATGGAATTTATACTGAGCGCAGTTACGGCAGGACTGTCTTTAGAGGTCCTATTTGCCTTTGACATATAACAATAACCTACTTTTACATTTCCAGTAACCAGCCTTTCCCTTTTTTCGTTAATTTCCGCCAATGTTAGTTTGAATTTTCATCAATAGGCACCAGTTGCCTGAGAAACAGGAGTTTATGTTGATGGAGCTGATTCTATTTAGTACATTGAAATAAACATAAGTTTCTTTATTTTAATATTTTTTGATGGCTTCCAATACAATTAAATATTCATTTACACTCGCTAACCAAGATTTAACTGTTTAGGCACAAATTAAGCAAGACA